CACACTGCCTCTCCCCCAGTGCCTCAGCTCTAACCACTAGCCCACACTGCCTCTCTCCCAGTGCTTTGAACATGACTGCAGCTGTGTCCTGTGTCAGCAAATCCCTGAGAAAAGTCTTCTTCCCAGTGATGAATAGAGACAGAGGGAGAGGGACAGAGAGGGAGTTTGCATATCCTCTATCCCATATCCTCTATCCCATATCCTCTATCCTATATCCTCTATCCTATATCCTCTATCCTCTATCCTCTATCCTCTCTCAGTGGTGTAAGAGCCCATTCTTCTGTTATGGCTCGTCTGTGGAGCTCTTCTCGGTCTCTCTCTCCTAGCCTCACTGCTGAGTCCTCTCTGCGATAGAGAAAGATACTGGAGCAAGGCAGCTAAAAATAAACCCTTTGCCCCTAATCAGCACTGAGCAAGAGAAAAACTCCCTTTTCATCACCCCTTCGCAGGTCTATAAATAAGCAGACTGAGCTGACAGGGTGCAGTGTGGCACAGGCGTGCAGCCAGCCCAGGCCGACGTCAGGGATACCTAGCATTGCAAGGAAGTGACATCACACCTCCGGGCCAGCCCACAGAGGCTGATGGGAGTCTGAGGTGGAGTACAGGGGTGTACACGAGCCCCGGAACTGCATGCTCCGGAGGGGGTTCTGGAAAATCAAGTGCACGGGAAGACTCACGCCCTCCCCCCCCAGATAAAAGGAAAGCCCTGCAGAGTCTAGGCAGGCCTGTTGCTGTCCACTAAAAATGTGTTAAGAAAGCAGGTTTGCAATTTGCGTGAGCAGAGAAGGAGAAGGAGTAGACGGCATTCTCCAGCCACATTTCTAATCCAACCAGCAAAGAATCGTGTGTCTTACAGCGTGCCTTTTTTGTTAACCTTATACAACAGGCAGATCAGTGTCTTATATTAATACTGAAACACATGATGCAAGGCCGGCTGGACCAATAGTGGGGGTGGATCCTGCAGTGGCGAGCTTTGCACAGTCCTGGTTTTAGATGAGAAGACGCTGGACTAGGTTTTAAATACCCTCTGTGTGGTTCTGAACTCTGCGAGCTGAATTACCTTCACCCCTTTTTCCATCCTGGACCTGTCCGCTTTGGCAGAGAGGGTTAGAGAGAATGAAATGGGAGAAACCAAAGTGGCTGTACCCGGGGGTGGGGGAGGCTAACAGCGTGTGTTGTGTTCCAGACAGGCCGTGTGGACAAGAACTACCCGCTGGTGGTGGGTCACACGGGACCGGTGCTCGACATCGACTGGTGCCCTCACGACGACAACATCCTGGCCAGCTGCTCCGAGGACTGCACTGCCATGGTAACGGGGAGGGGGCGGGGATTCCGGGGCCCAGCCAATCAAAGCTGCCAGATTTACGCGGAGATGAGCGAGAGTGGGGGTGA